TTCCCCTTGTAAGCAACACTGAGGTTCCCCTTTTTTTCTGCTGAGCACTTGTAAACCATTTTAAACAGTATTGATTCCCTGGCATCATTTCTATGTGCTTGACGTGTATATCTGAACTATAAATATTCATAGTTTTGAGGTTACTTCTAGTTCTAGATTCATAAAGTCCAATCCCTTCATGAGGAAACTGAGGCCTAGTGAAGCTGAGTAACTTGCTCAAGGTCACAGAGGCAGCTTCCATCTGTGGGAGGATTCCAACCCTGATCCTCCAACTCCAGAGACTGGCTCTTCCCACTCTACTCTCTCATTCTGTTTGGGCATATCCTTTTATGTTATGTCTTATACTAGGTATACTGCTTTGGACTCAGAACATGATGGTGATGTGGCTCTTCTTTCTTTGATCATTCACTCTCAATATAAAACTTCCCAGTTATACTGAGCAGTCTCACTATACTGGCTTTTGGCCAGAAAAAGAGGACTTTTAGACTCGGTCTCTTTTTTTCTAATTCTTTTTATTTGTTTCATTAGTTATTTCCCAGACAGGTAAAAAAAATTAACTCATTTTAAAAATGAGTTCTAAATTATTTTCCTCCCTCCTGTTGAGAAGGCAGATAATTTTCTCATTTCCATTTTAGCCATGTTGCAAAAGAAAACAGACAAAACAATGAAAATAAAGAGTAAAAAAAGTATGTTTCAATCTTCACTAAGAGTTGATCAGTTCTCTCTGTAGATGGATGACATTTTTTTCATCTTGGGTCCTTTGGAAAATGTCTTGGATCATTGTGTTGATAGGAGTAGCTAAGTCTTTCATAGATGATCATCCTTACGATATTGCTGTTACTGTATACAGTGTTTTGGTTCTGCTCATTTTACTTTGCATCATCAGTTCATGTCAATCTTTCCATGTATTTCTTTTTTTTGGAGGCTATCCTGCTCATCATTTCTTGCAGCACAATAGTATTTTGTCATAATCTTATACCACAACTTGTTCAGCCATTCCCCAATTGATAAATATCCCCTCTGTTTCCAGTTCCTTGCCTCCAGGAAAAGAGCTGCAATGAATAGGTCCTTTTCCTTTTTCTTTGATCTCTTTGGTAGTACAGACCTGCTAGTGGTATTGCTGAGTCAAAGGTTATATGTCCTTTTATAGCCCTTTGGGCATAGTTATGCATGCTTTTCCAAAATGGTTGAATTAGTTCAAAACTCCACTAACAATATGCATTAGAGTCCCAATTTTTCTACATCTTTTCAAGCATTTACCATTTTTCTTTTCTGTCTTGTCTTTTTTTTGATGCATTTTTATTTGTATCTTTTGCTTTCTTAGAGCACAGTAATATTCCATTAAATTAACAAGCCACAATTATTTTAGCCATTCCCAGTCTGTCAGCATATGCTTTGTTTTCAGTTCTTTGCTACCACAAAAAGTACTGCTATAAATATGTTGTTGCATATGCATATGAGTACTGGATTCTCAAATTTGAGGAGTATGGACATTTAGTCATTTTATTTGGCGCTGATTCCAAATTGCTTTCCAGCATGTTTTTATACTGATTCACAGCTACACTAACAATGCAGTGACATCTGTATTCTTCCCCCAACCCCACGAACATCTGTTTCCACATTTGTCAGTTTGCATGGTGTGAGATTAAACCTCAGGATTGTTTTGATTTGTATTTTTTATTATTGATTTAGAGCTTCCTTTATTCCTATTAAGTTTGCAGTTCTTTTGAGAACTGTTCATATCTTTTGATATGTTAGTTGTTTGCGTATCTTGGATGCTAAACTTTTTTTCTGAGAAATTTGATATAAAGATTTCCCCATCCTTTATATAGCCACTTCCTTTATCCTAGATGCATTAATTGTCTCTATCCTGTGTTTGGTTAAAAATATCCTACATATAATTGTGAAAGGTAATATGATCTTTAGTATTAAGGTCACATTTCCATTTTGAATTTATTGTGAAGTATGACGTAAGGTGTTAACCTAAGTTTAATTTCTACCAGTCTTCTGTCCAGGGGGAGGGGGGGGGAGAGAATGTGTGTGTTTTATATAGAATTCTTTCCTAAGTAATTTTGGTTTTAGGTTTATTCAGCTCTGATTGAGTTAGTTCTTTCTCATTCTTCTTTCTGTTCTGTTCTACTGATCTCCTCTCCATATACCCCCACTTTCAGACATCTATTATAATAATTTTAAAAGAAGAATGGAAAAAAAAAGTGAGCTAACTAACCAACATTAAAAGTTAAATTATGTGCAACACTCCACAACCATGGTCCTATTTTTTTCATTTATGAAATCACCCACATTACCTGTAAACGTTCACACTTTAATCCTTACTAGTTTGGTTCACTTATCATCCTTTCTACTTACCTCCTGTTAATACTTTTTTGTTCATGCCAATTATCTTTTGTGCCTCTAATCTTGATTACCACTTTACTTATCAAGATTGTTTCCCCATTACAAGCCAATTCTGAACTTCAAAATTGTTCATTTATATGACTCAGAATATTTGATGTCCTTTTATCTACCTAGTTTTTTACCTCCACCCTTCTCAAGAAAAATTTGCAATATTTACCTGATTTGCAAGTGGGTGTTATCAGACCCCCTGTAGCCCTATACCTATACTAGAACAATTTTCTTTACACATAATTAGTGGTAAATATGTGCTTGTTGGGACAGTGGATAAGAGTGCTGGGCCTGGAGTCAGGAAGACTCACGTTCCTGAGTTAAAATTTGTTTTGCTTTTAAATAATTTATTTTTCCCCAGTTACATGAAAAGACTATTTTAAACATTCATTTTTTAATATTTCCGAGTTCAGATTTGGCTTGAGACACTTTAACTAGCTGTGTGACCCTGGGCAAATCAAGTGACTTGCAAATCCTGTTTGCCTCAGTTTCATCATCTGTAAAATGATCTGGACAAGTAAATGGGGCAAACCACTTCAATATCCTTGCCAAGATAACCCCAGGTGGGATCATGAAAAGTCATAAGTGATTGGAAAATGACTGAACAACAAGAAGTATGCTTCTTAGCTTAAACCATTCCCTGACTAGAAAGTCTTCTCCACAGAAGTTGCTAAGCTTTTTGCCTGATTAAACCCCTACTTCCAACATCTTGGATGTTCTTCCAGATTGGAAAAGACTTTGTTCTATAGGGAAAGTAGCTAGGTAGCTCTGGATATCCCTGAGCCCTAAAGTTAGGAAGACCTAAGTTCACATTTGGTCTTAGACATATAACTGACTAGCTATATCACTATGGGCAAGTCACTTAACCTGTTTACCTCTGTTTATTCAGTTGTAAAAATAAAGATAATAGCATACACCTCCTTGGTTTGTTGTATGGTTCTAATGCAATATTTGTCCCTGGCACTATGCTATAGAATGGCAGTATATAAATCTTATTTAATATTATTATTATTATTATTATTACCACCGCCACTGCTATAATGGGTGCTGAGCTCTTTGCTCATTATTAAATTTCAGTTGGGTTGTTGCATTGTATGCCCAGCATGTAGCACAAAGTGATTTTACCTAATCAAAGATTTGACCATATGACACAGTGAACTTCAGGAGTTCCCAATTGCAGCTAGTATAAAATATAATAACCCTCCTTTGTTAAGCTTTTACAGACATTTACAACCTCTCCCCCAGTCTATTCTTCCAGTCTCATTGTACGTTATTCCTTTTCTTCATTCTTTGATCCAACCAAATTGGCCTTCTCCTTGTTGTTTCTGTGTGACATTCCATCTCTGTTATCCATGCCTTTACACCAGCTGCCCTCATGTCTGAAGTATACTCCTCAGTTTCATCTCATAGAATCTTCTCTTTTAAAGATACAGCTCAAATACCACTTCATGGCCTTTCCTGATCATCTTGACTCAAATTATTTTGTATTTCTTGTCTTTATTTTATATATACATTACATAGTTATTTTTTGTTAGAATATAAGCTCTTCATATGTAGGAGTTGTTCAGTCATGGTTTTTGTATCCCCAGCATCTAGCACACAGTCTTTGGCACATAGTAGGTACTAAATACTAGTTGATTGGTTAATTTGTATAATACACTGTCCAATTGGGAACAAAATCAATAAATGTATTAAAGCTTGTTATATAAGTTGGTTACTAGAGATTGGCTGTGTATTAATAATAGCTCACATATATAGTGCTTTACTCAAGTCTCTTCTCGATAGTCCTGTGAGGCAGGTTAAAGTATCTTATGCATTATGCCAAGCTTCCAAATGAAACTTAGGGAAGTCCAAAGTCAAATATCTAGTAAATATTGTAACCAGTATTAGATCCCATGCTCTTTCTTTCTACTGTACCCACATTATACCTCCAGTAGAGCCATCTTTTAGTAAACTTGGGACATCAGAGATTTTTCATCAAATTTGAATCTTTGTAAATGAGTTCTATTGCTACACAGTGAAATCTGGGAATGGAAGTATTTTTTATGGATTCAGTTACTGTCCATGCTGACAGGAATGCCACCTTATGAGGGAGAACATTGCTCTTTCCTCAGTTATTAGTTTGGCATAGGTACAAGAAATATTTCCAAGGCTATGAAGTATTTATAGCTTTGTTAAGTCGAATATTTGTGGTTTCATTGTAAAGTACCCTGTTCCAAACATGGGGAATGCAAAGAATTTGGGCACACTTGAATATATGGATCATCATTATAAAATTGTATAGAAATTGTTAAATCCACAGTCTAAAAAGTTGTAAGAATTCTTTGCTGTTTCGGACTAGATTCATGATATATGGTAGAGAGATTTGTTAAACATTTAAATGTTATACAATTAATATTTATGCATCATTTAATACATTAAAATGGCTTTCTTGGAAGTAGAAGTAGGTAAGATTTTTTGAGGCGATAGTATAGTGTGAAAGTACTTTGTCACTTTAGCGCTAGGTCATTTGGCTTCTGAAATTTTCAAATAGCTGGGTTCATTTGACATGTATCATAATTGTTATTAAACTAAGTTTTGCTTTTGTTTTTTTCCAGTTGGGGTCATTCGTTGTCCAGTTTGCAGCCAAGAATGTGCAGAGAGACACATTATAGATAATTTTTTTGTAAAAGATACTACAGAGGTACCCAGCAGTACAGTAGAAAAGTCTAATCAGGTGAGTATTCTATTAAATGTTAACTCACTTGCAACATCCATGTGTAAGAATGTTTAGGGGGAAAAAAGGTAAGGCAGAATTTTATAGTAAAATAAAAGTAGTTGATTGCTAACATTTTAGACATCGAAGTAACTACCTGGTGGCCCCAAAATAGAATGATTTCACTAGTTCACAACTCCAATAGCTCATTAGTATATCTATTTTCCCACATCCCCTCTGTCATTTTCCTTTATCTTTGCATCACCCCCTCTCCCTGTTCTCATATCTGCTTCCCCTTCTATTTTACTGTAGGGCAGGATAGATTTCTATACCCCATTGCCTATATATCCTATTTCCCAGTTGCCTGTAAAAACAATTGTTAACATTTGTTTTTAAAACTTTGAGTTCCAAATTCTCTCCTTCCTTTCCAAGTCACCCTCATTGAGAAGGCAAGCAATTTATATAGGTTATCCATGTGTAGTCATGCCAAACACTTCCATAATAGTCATTTTGTGAAAAATTAACTGTATTTCCATCCATCCTATCCTGCCCCCCGTTTATTCTATTCTCTCCTTTAACCCTGTCCCTCCTTAAAAGTGTTTGCTTCTGATTACCTCCTCCCCCAATCTGCCCTCCCTTTTATCATTACCCTCTCTGTTGTCCTTTTCCCCTCTTATTTTCCTGTAGGATAAGATAGATTTCCATACCCAGTTGAGTGTGTATGTTATTCCATCCTTAAGTCGAATCTGATGAGAGTAAGCACTCATTTCCTCTCACTCCCCCTCTTTTCCCCTCCACTGTAAAAGCTTTTTTTTCCTTGCCTCTTTTATGTGAGATAATTTACCCCATTCTACCTCTGCCTTTCTCCTTCTCCCAGTACATTCCTCTCTCACTCCTTAATTTTACTTTTTTAGGTATCATCCCTTCGTATTTAACTCACCTGTGCCCTTTGTCTATATATAATCCCTCCAACTACCCTGAAAGTGAGAAAGGTGTCATGAGTTACAAATAGTATGTGTCCATGTAGGAATGTAATAAATCCCTTTTCAAGTTACCTTTTCAAGCTTCTCTTGAGTCAGATTTTCTATTCAGCTCTGGTCTTTTCATCAAGAATGCTTGCAAGTCCTCTATTTCTTTGAATGTCTATTTTTGCTGGGTAGGTGATTCTTGGTTTTAATCCTATCTCCTTTGACCTTCGAATATCACATTCCAAGTCCTCCAGTGCCTTAATGTAGAAGCTGCTAAATCTCATGTTATCTTGATTGTATTTCCACAGTACTTGAATTGTTTCTCTATGGCTACTTGGAATATTTTCTCCTTGACCTGGGAATTCTGGAATTTGGCTATAATATTCCTGGGAGTTTTCCTTTGGGGATCTCTTTTAGGACGTGACCAGTGGATTCTTTTAATTTGTGTTTCGCCCTCTGCTTCTAGAATATCAGGCAGTTTTCCTTGATGATTTCTTAAAAGATGGTGTCTAGGCTGTTTTTTGGATTACAGCTTTCAGGTAGTCCAATAATTTTTAAATTCTCTATCCTGGGTCTATTTTCCAGGTCAGTTGTTTTTCCAGTGAGATATTTCACATTGTCTTCTATTTTTTCATTCTTTCGGTTTTGTTTTACAATGTCTTTATTTTTCATAAAGTCACTAGTTTCCATTTGTTCCATTCTAAATTTTAAGGAAGTATTTTCCTCAGGAAATCTGAGATTTTCCTCAGATCTCTTCCTCAGAGATCCTTTTGGATCTCCTTTTCCATTTGGCCAATTCTGCTTTTTAAGGCATTGTTCTCATTGGCTCTTTGGACCTCTTTTGCCATTTGTTCTAGTCTATTTATTAAGGTGTTTTTTCCTTCAGTATTTTTTGGGTCTCCCTTAGCAAGCTGTTGAGTTTTTTTTTCCATTATTTTCTTGCATCACTCTCATTGATCTTCCCAACTTTTCCTCTACGTCTCTTACTTGCTTTTCAAAATCCTTTTTGTGGCCTGAGACCAATTCATATTTTTCTTGGAGGCTTTGGATATAGGAACTTTGATGTTGTTGTCTTCTTCTTCTTGTTTGTTTTGATCTTCTTCGTCACCAAAATAAGATTCTATAGTTTGAGAGTTTATCAGGTTTTTTGTTTGTTTTGATTTTTGTGCTAAGTACTCATATTTGCAGCCAGTTACTTGACTTTTAAACTCTTTGTTAAGGTAGTGCTCTACTTCCAGTGTGGAGAGTGTACTGTCCTAAACTTTGGGGGTTTTGTGCAGCTGTTTTCAGAGATACTTCTAGGGACCTATAAATTTTCAATTCTTCCAAGGTGGTATGTTCAAAGCTTGAACTCTGGTCTGTGAGTAACCACAAGCACTCTTTTCTGCCTTGGAACTGAGGAGGATTTCTCTGCACCATGGACACAAGCTTCTACCATGCCAGCATTTCTCCTCGACCCAGGACTGTGACCCAGATCCAAGCACAAGCAAAGCAAGAGAATCATGCCTTAGCAGAAGAAAAGAGATCCCTGCAATCCCCCTCTGATCAGCCACTCAATTCCCTCACCATCTGTGGGCCCAGAGCTCTGGAATCAGCTGCCGCTGCTGCCACCATTCCACAGCTACGTCAGGGCTAGGGCCAACGGTCTTTGATGTTTTGGGGTTGAGAAGTCTGTTAAACCACCATAGCTGCTAGTGATTCAGTCCCATGAGCCCTGCTCCAGGTTCCCTTTTCCTGAGTGGCCAAACCTTAATTGCACTCCTCTCCCAGGTCAGTGCAGCCATCAAGATTGTCTTTGGCTAGAAACTTCTTCCACTCTACCTTTTTAATGAGTTCTGCTGCTCTAGAATTTGTTTAGAGTAATTTTTTACAGGCACTTGGAAGGGTTTGGGGGAGAACTCAATCAAGTCAATACTTTTACTGCACCATCTTTGCTCTGCTTATAATTTTAGTTGTATTGGTTTTATTTGTGCAATACCTTTTTAATTTCATGTAATCAGAATTATCCATTTTACTTCCTATGATCTTGTGTCTGTTAGTTATAAACTCTTCCCTTATCCACATATCTGAAAGAATTTCTTCCATATTTTAATAACTTACTTTTGCTGTCATCCTTAATGTCTAAATTACATACCTATTTTAAGCTTATCTTGTTATATACAGTGTGAGATATTGGTGTATTCAAAGTTTCTGACAGATTACTTCCAGTTTTCCCAACAATTTTTGTCAAATAGTGAATCAAATCAAAAGTCAAATCTTGCCCCAGCAGATGAGATATTGGGGTTTATCAAACAATAGGTTACTGTGCTCATTTAAGTATATTGTGTATCTAATTTGTTGCACTGATCAAACTCACTATTAGTATCATTGTTTATGATATAGTTTGAAATCTTTTACTGTTATTCTTCCTTCATTCACATTTTTTCTATTGTTTCCCTTGATAATTCTTGTTTCTCACTGTTTTGGTTTTTTTTTAAGCTTTTTAATTTAGTTAACATTGTCAATTTTATTATACTGGCTCAGCCTACCTATCCATGAGCAATTTCTCCATTTATTTAGGTCAGTCTTCATGTGAAGAATGTTTTGTAATTGTGTTCATGGGGTTCCTGTGTGTGTCTGTAGTTATTTTAAATGGTATTTTCTTTTCTTTCTCTTACTGATAATATACAGAAATTCTGAGGACTTGAATTGATTTATTTTTATCATGTAACTTTGCTGAAGTTGTTTTCGGTTAGTGTTTTAGTTGACCTTTAAGGGTTATTTTAAGTAAACCATCATCTGCAAAGAGTGACAGTATTTTTCTTGTTTGCTTGTGAATTTCTTTTTCTTGTCTTATTGCTGTTCCTAACGTTTCTAGTACAGTGTTGAATAGTAATGGTGATAGTAGAAATTCTTTCTTCCTGAACTTTGATCTTATTGGGAAAACTTTTAGCTTCTCCTCATTAGAGATAAAGGTTTCTCTTGGTTTTAGGTAGATTTAACTTATCATTTTTAGGGAAGTTCAGATTATTTTTGTACTTTGTAGTGTTTTAAACAGGAATGAGCATTGTATTTTGTTAAAAGCCCATTCTATTTTGAAATAATTACATAATTTTTGTTGTGTTTATTTTTAATATGGTCATTGTATGTTTATAGTTTTCTTAATATTGAAAGAGCACTGCACCAGCCCTTAATTTAGCTTTGTGAATAGCTCATTTTCTTTTCTGGCTGTACATTTCCATATTGATCTTTACCCTACTTCACCTGTGTAATTTCTTTTTTTGTTTTTTTTTTAAATTAATTTATTTTGATTTATCAACAATCACTTCCATATGCTTTTGAGTTTAAAATTTTTCTCCCAGGGAGAAGGGGGGGCAGCTAGGTGGTGCAGTGGATAGAGCATCAGCCCTGAAGTCAGGAGGACCTGAGTTCAAATGTGGTCTCAGACCAATTGTGTGACCCTGGGCAACCCCAATTGCCTAAAAATCAAAAAAAAATTAAAATTTTTCTCCCCCTTCCTCCCCACCAACCTCCCCAAGACAGTGCTCAGTCTGATATATGCTATACATTTACATTCCTATTAAACATATTTTCACATTAGTGAAGTTGTAAGTACAAATTCTCACTAGTGTTTTGCTTTTGAACATTGCCTCCCTCAGTCCCTCCCTCCCTTCCCCTTTTCTTCCCCTTTAGCCTTACTGCTTCTTCCCTCCCTTCTATTCCCCCCTCCCTTTTCTTTCACCTTTATCCTCCTACTGCCTATAGGGCAAGTTAGATTTCTATACCTAACTGATTTGTTATTCCCTTCTTCAGCCAAATCTGATGAGAGTAAGGTTCAAACAATGCTCATCCCCCTCCCTTCTTTCCCTCTGCTGTAATAGGATTTTGTGTCTTTTCCTGTAATGTAATTTGCCCTTGCCTGCTTCCTCCTTTCTCAGTACATTTTCTAAGATCAGACTAATCCACTTACTTGGATCCATTTAACCCACTTGATTAGATTTTTTTTTTTATCATTGCATCAAAACTAATATCCACCCCCTTTATGTATACTCCTTTACCATGATGTAATAACAA